ACCTTCTATAAATAAGCATGTATATCGTAATCGGATATCGAAAAAAAAAGTAGTTTCTCAAATTGCTCAAAAGTCCGCTCCGGCTGTAATTTTTCACTTGATTGCGTCAGTTTTGACAACCATAAATATAATGTTGGTTTGCCAACACGAAATTGTATAAGTTATGACACTGTGGCTCCTTTCAACCGAATAAATCCAAACGGGAATCAATCGTTTTTCATCATTGTAATATCGCACAAATGCAATGTGAGCAGCTTACGGTGTTTCGTTTTGTACACACGGATTGCACACCCACCGATAGTCAAACGCACAACAAGTAGTCAGTAGTGTATAAAATGTCAAACGGTAAATCGTAGCGAAGAATGCTCTGCCATCGAAAAACCGCTCCGAATGATAAATGATCAGAGATAATAATAATGGCGACAACTACTAAAATAATCGACTCCATTGTCAAGCGATACGCGTACCAATTCATTCATTTTGGAAGGGGGATGAATGAATAAAAAAAATGTGACAGTCTCTCGAATTATTTTCCGCTATGAAAACATTGAACACAACATAAACAGAGTGGATAACAGTTACAATAAAATAAATCGACACAATGAACCGTCAATTGGTTCGAGCTGAGAGTCCAAACGAAAACGTTTTGAAAATGAAGAAAAAAAACTAAAACAACACACAACGGACAAAATAAAAACGAATACTCAATGTACGCACGCACTTTTCAATGAACAAGAAACGAAATGTGAATGAGGTGTTCGATTACGAACATACAGACAGTATCGACGATAAAGAATGAGCAAACGATTTGACACATGATATTTGATAAAAAAAGAAGACCAATCTAACCATTTACTTTAGCTAGAGATGGCCAAAAATAGCATTGAACTTTTTCCCAATCATTTCATTTTATATTCATACGCGCGATTAACTATCAAAAATAAGAAGAAAAAAGAAAAACAGATTGGAATGGAAGAAACCACTAGTTTTTTTCTATTGAATGATTTTGTGAAACGCATTTTTGTGGATTTGTTGAATCGGATTTTGGTTGGTTATTCTGCATATAGTAGTATCTTTTTGAATTCATGAGCAAAGCTCATCCTCATGTCATAGCTACCGATGAAATATCCGATTTGTTTTCCCAATCGAATCGAATTTTATCGATTTCACTTCAATAATTTACATAACTGGTCGGCCCGACACACAAAGAATTTTTATATTAAATTTTACGTGGATTCGGAAGAACAAACCGAACAAAAATGCGAATCAATGAAATTTTTGCATATCAGCGGTTGAACTTTAGCAATTTTGCTCACGACACCAGCATAAAATTTAAGAAGATGAGTGCTCAGACGATTGGTTCAAAATTGTAAGCTAAATTGACTGGAAAATAGGCTTTATTTTGGTGTTTCCATAGAAAAAGTGAATCAGAGAGGAAAAGGAAAGGAGATTGAAACGAATCAACCATATAAACACACCATATATATCAGATCAAAACATTTCCAATAGAGTGATGGCGGATGATGTTTTTGCTGGAAGTTTGTATGTCTGTGGAGAATAATTGTGTTGTATTATTACTTTTTGTAAGAGATTCAGAGCGAAAAAGCTTTGTTTTTTCGTTTTGAGTATCCGATTCATTCTTCATCGACAGAAGGAAATAAATAAAATGCCACAAAGTAATAAACATTCAGCTTCCACTAGAGACTAAGCTGAAAACAAAGGAATGGGTGATGGAAATTGAGACAGGGAGGGAGTAGAATAATTATTTTCGTTGTTCTGTTACAGTAAATCCATTGTGGAAAAGAAATATATAAACATCCTGTCTCAAAATGAGCACAGCGAGACACAGAATGGGAGAGAGAGAAAACGAATACAACGTGTGCGTGTTTTGTATGCGAATTGGGTTTTTGGTTGACTAAAGTACACGGTCATTATGATAAAAAGAGTGAGAGTAAGCATGAGCGTGAGAGCATGAGTCATGAATTCAAAACACTTTCGGAGGGAGAGAACGTTTGAGTCGTATATTTCTATGAGTATATATGACCAAAGTTATCGTTGTTGTTGCCATTGATATTGCTGTCGAATGTGGTGGATGATCAAAATTGAGAGCGGGTTTAGATGCTGTATACGCCTGAATTCAGCGAAACAACAAGAACCCACGAATCTTTCTCATCTTCAAAAGCGCGAACGGAACGAAAAGAGGAAAAACAATTACACTATAAACCATATTACGTATATCAATGGTTTGTTGTTGTTGTTTTCTGCTTTTCTAATTTGTGCGCTTCTATGATTTTGTATGGGTTCGCTTGCCATCGTGCACCAAAAGTTGTTTGTATCTATGTGTGTTTGGCTGTTTATTTGTCCGTAAACATTAGAGTCATAATTAAATTGGACACAATGATGTTCGAAATGTGTGAAAGAGAGTTAAAGCAAAATGCTATCCGGGCCAAAACGATAGCCGAAAAGTCAAAAATATCCACACAATAATGGCATGTATCGTAACTGTAAGTCGTTGTGATAATTTTACAGAAAATATTTGGAAATGTGAGAGGTTTTCGCGTGTAATGTGTAGTACACAATGGAAGTGAATTCGTTTTTTTTGTTGGCATGTGTGTTTGCTTGTAGGCTTCAAATTACGCTTCATAATAACAAACAAAAATATGTGCTTTGCTTGTGATATTTTATCCGCCTGAAAATTAAATTAAAATAGAGCACAATTTCAACTGTTTCAATACACAATTTACTGGTGTACAATCAGTTATGGACAATGTGAATTAAAAATAAAACTCAATACGACTGAGACATCTTAGTCAGATAATATCAATCTTGTTATGCACACATTGAATTTCCGATTGAATATTGGCTATGCGGGGCCGTAGATTCTGGCGACAAAAAATCAATTGCATTGTTGAAAACGAAACCAGCCACAGAGAAAACATTCAATAAAATATTGCCATGATATCGATTGAATTTTCGGTAAGTGAAAGAGCTTCGAGCGTATAGGCAAGCTCTCGTGCACATACTCATTTTATTGAAATGAGCATCGAAACGACTAAAATCCGATTAATGCACACTCGAATGTACCATGAATAATCGAGATGGGAATAACGGAAATATACACATACAAACACATATATTCCAATTTCTACGATGAATATGACTATTTTATGATAATTTCGTGAAAAAAGCATACACTTCACACTCCTCACGTTCCATTTGGGCTTAATTTACAGGCCATTTTCAATTAGCTCATGCATTGTGAACACGAAAAATTTATTCATGTTCAGTGCTTTGCCATTTTAATTCCATTTTTATACTCATTTCAATTATTTAATATCTGTTCCAATTAAATGTTTTTAGCACACAATAATTTTGGGATTTGTGATAACTACTACGATTTTTGAAATATAAGTGCCAATTTTTATGCTCTCTCTCTCTCTCTCTCTCTCTCTCTCTCTCTCTCTATTGCCATCAATTTCATATTGTTCATTTTGCTGTATTGGTGATTAAAGCTTTCAGTTGCGCATTTAGCGTAGAGTAGGATAAAAAAATATAATGATGCAAATTTAACATCATGTTTATGGAAAATAAATGTGATTGATTTTCCATCATTAAAATTGTTTTCATTTTTAGTTATTTATTATTATTAGTTTGAGTTTCGCAGTGTAAATTTTATGCGCAAAATGTTCCATGTCACTGCTCTGATTCAACAAGAATTTATTGAATTTATTTATGCATATGAGATGAATAAGGACATAAATAGAACATTGCATACATAAATTTGTGAACGAGAGAAAAGAAGATATATAACAAGAGACAAAAATTTATAAAATGTATTATAATTTTTGTGTGTGGAATGTGTTTTATTTGATTTGGCGAAAGTGCTTGTATGTTCTATAGAATGAACATAACACATAAAATATAAAACTATTTCAAATTTATCTTCGGAGAATATTACAAAAGAGAAATTTTTTTGAATTTGTTCTTGATTTTGCTTGTCTGTACATTTTGTGAATCACATATCACGAAAGAAAGAATTTAAATATTTTGACAAGATTTCCATTTCCATTTTTTTTTTTTTTCATTTCGTTCATTTTCTCGGTATATTTTTGTTAGTTCAATTTTCTCACTCTTGTTAGTTGATGAAGGCAACGAGTTTCGTTCATTTGTTGGCTCGTTCGTTCGTTGGTTCGTACGAATGTTTGGTTTCGACATGGAGAGGGCGTATGTGAAATGAACGAGAGAAAATCTTTTGTACCATTTGATGTTGACTGACATTCTTATGTAAATTACAATAGCAAATATTATGTAATGCCATAAACTGCTAGTATTATGTCAATTGAGTTGTTGAGTATGAACAGTCAGATAGAGCAAAACCCATGGAAAACTTGAGCTATGAGCATCGGCACCAGTGGAATTTAGCCAATGCCAATCCGCAAGTGCTTTTGTTGAACAGTGATTTTATTATTCTTTCTTTCTTTGTCTCTTTCATTTTCGGTAGAACTTGTGAATATTTTCATTCAGATTAACATTGACATATAAAGCGAATGTAATGCGATTTATGAAATTTTCAGCGAAAAATTACACAAATCTCGCTGGCTTTAGCCGAATGTATTTACTTAACTTAACTGCATTGGTGAATATTGTATGATTTAGTAAGTCTACTTCATCATCATCATCATCATCATCATCATCAGCAGCAGCAGCAGCAGTAAAATTATCTTTATTTAATTCAATGTAAGAGAATAACATGCATAATTTTTTCGTTCTTTAAAAAAATATTATTGTCAGTCAGTTCCACTCTTAATTGTATGCCTTTGTTAAAGCAAGCGTAAGTAATTGAATGGTAGTTTTTCAATTCTTGATGTTTCGATGTATAAAAAATAGTGTTTTGTCATTGCACCATTGAAATTGATGAATGGTAGTTGTATCATGCAAAATTGAAACAGTAAACAAACGAAGAAAAAAAAACGTTATAGATACTGAAGTGCAATACATACCTCGCTGTCGTTGCTATAGAGTGTAAGTTTGAATCCGGGTAATAAATCCGACTTGCTGTTGACATCTTCTAGAGCTAATTCAGCAGCTGGTTGGCATGCTTGACCGCCTTGCCATCCACCCTTCATTTCACCAATAATAATAGAAGGGTAAGAATTTTTCTAAAAAAAAAAAGTCCACCAATAATAATACCTTTCCACCGATCGGAAATATACCGCCAATGTGCAATTCATCTAATCCGTATGCTGCATGTTGTTTGAATGCTGGTAGCATGGCAGCTAACCAAATCACAACCATCCAATGTAATGACATCGATTTGTTGGAGTACAGCGGCCACCATTGTCGACGTCGATTGACACAAGCGTCAAAAATATGCGACAAACAAATGGCGCTTGGCATTATGAACACTTGATCCATTCTCCGTCGTTCTATGTATTTCCCTTCACTTTTTATCCTTCGATTAACTCTGTCGAAATGGGATAAATCTCCAGTTATCTATTTTGTTTGCGTTCTCAATTTTTTTTATTGCAAATCAGAGACTTTTGGGATTTATTTCTCCTTTTATTAAATTGTAATGACGATGGTGCACGCTTCGGGAAATATTTACTTTCATTATACTCTACATTTTACATTTTCTAGTCGAACATTTTTCTACTTTTTTATATATTTTAAACATAGATATATGTTGTGTACTATGTTATATTTTTAATTTTTTTTTATCCATGTATTGAGTGTGGTTTCGCGACTTGTTTGGTGTTTTTGGTTGTTGTTTTGTATCATTCACTTGGTCTGTACTCTGTGCATGTATTTTATATATATAAATTTGGTTGTTAGCACTAACGATTCTATTGCATGAATACGGGCTTTGAAAATATGTTTGCGTTGTGGAAATCAAGCGCTGAACGAGAACTTAGGTCGAGAGAAATTTTGTTGTGTGCGCAAACATTCCAATAAAAAAAACTGTGTGTTCACAAGCAAATTCAATTATCATAAAGTTCCATTCGGGTTTGCTGAGACCTGCAAATATATAGATAAAAATAGCAAAAAAAAGGTTCAGTTAAATATCAAAAAAAGGGTATTTCATTTCTGCTATATTCAACAAAAATGTATAAAGAATATCTTCAAAAGACAAAACATTAACGAAAATAAAAATCGGGTAATTAAGCAGCGAATGTCCGGGAGAGAAATAGAAAGAACGAATGCGAATAAAATCTCATACAAATTTCGGTCGATATATCAACTGAGATTCCCCGAGTATATTTATTTTGTGCGAATTTATTGTGATTTTTCTTTAATTCTTTCATCGTGATTTACCCCAAAATGAAAGAACATCGTAATTTTTTTTTCGTGTTGGCCAAAGAGCTTCGATTCTAAGCTAGCTTAAGTCACAACTTTTAATTTGACTTCAGCAACTGTGTGTGTATGTGCATGTGTATGGTTTTGTACGGGAATGTGGGTGTGCGTGTGTATGTATATACTTATTTAAACCATGCACAAACAGTGAGAGAATTTATCAATTCGACCGATTGTGGTTTTGAAAATTAAATACAGGCATCAAATTCAGTCACAATACCACAATCGTTAAGTGAGATAGGGCGATATGTATCAATCATTGGTGTAGAGCTGTGTTTTGGCTTCCATCCAAATAGAAAAAAAATTGCATGCGCCAATTCAAAAAACCACACGCATTTGGCTAGACGCTATTTTTCGTTCATTTTATGTTAGACAAAATAAAGTAGAAATAACAGAGAAAACAAAATAAAACAACACAACCACCATAAAAGACCTAAATAAACAAACAAATTGTCACATTTCACTTGTTATTCGACCAGTGCTCGTAATGCATTTCATGCTTTTTCTCGTTTTTTTTTAAAAAGTAAACTGAAACCAATTCAACCACATGTATACATGTTTATGGTATGGATGTGTGTTGATTCTATGATTGTGTATCGAAAAAGTTTTGCAAAAATTCATGAATAAACTAACTCGATCTGTGTGTTTGTGTATGTGTGTGTGTTGTGTTGTGTCGTGTCGAATTATATGACGATATCTGGTGAGCAATATATTTCGATGTTTTATTTGGAATAGAACAGTTGTTTTTGATTCAAGCTCGTCTCAATCGTCTCGTTATAAACGTGCGCGCGCTCTCCCACAATCGTTGCATGTTGTGTTGATGTCTCAATTTGTGTAATATTTGAAATGTTGTTTATTGTATATAATTTTTGTTTTACTTGTTGTATGTGTTTGTTATTACAAATTGTAGTGTCTGCACGATCTTTTCCGAAAAATTTTCACATTTCATTTCGATATACGATGATTTATTCTGCTCGCTGATAATTATTATAGGCCCGAAATTCATTTAGTGCTTCAAGTGTATGTGTGTAAAACACAACAAATCATTTGTTGTAAATTGTGTCTACAAACTTGTTTAAATTGTTGTTTGTTTCGATTTGTTGTTTTTTTATATTCTTTGTCGAGTGTGTGTTCTCATTACTCATTTATTGTCTGGATTTTTTTTACAATGAATCAAGTGCTCTTGTTTGAATTTGTTTAGAATTTTCGAGCTGATGATATGAATCGAGCATCACGTATCGGAATGCATTTGATATGAAAACAATTCGAAGTACTGTCATAACACGCATTTGATAGTTGTCATTATTACTGCTATGCGTTATCAAAATGAATGAATTCAAGCGCGCGCGGATACATCACGAAAAAATCGTATAAAAGCTGTGCAACATCATTCTGAACGGCATACACAATTCAATAGCACACAGACTGAAACACATCATGGCGACGACGAGAGCAGTAACACTTTTATTACTGAGTTTCGCTTTTAACGTGAGTATTTATTGGCAATGCAATATTTACTATTTATTTTCCACCATCGACTATATTTAAAAAAAAAAACTATTTTGTTTCGTTCCATTTCGAGTAATTTATGTGTTATGTTTTTGTTTCTTTTGTTTTGTGATAATTTAGAAAGCATACTGTACTCCAGTACCACAGTGTGGACAATCGCAGTTACCAACAGGCTCACAGTCATCGCCACCTAGTTTCCAATCCGGATCACCAGCGAATGGATCACCAGCGAATGGATTATCAGCGGGGCAACAACCAGAAGTATATAAACAAAATAATGGACAACCTCTCGTTTTAGTTGCAAAAGATCAAGCACAAGGATCACAACCACCACCACCACCACCACCATCATCATCATCATCACCATCATTTGCCTCATCACCATCATTCGGAAGCTCGCCATCTGCAGGCTCACCAAGTAATGCCGCAGGCTCACCAAGTGCAAGCCAAGATGAAATCAACATCGGACATCAACTTGCTGATCAATCAATTTCTGATGGAGCTCTAGAAACAATTCCCGCTCCCAATAAACCATGCAAAGAAGAAACATCCACAGAAGTTGTTCAACATCCTGGCGAAACGTTTGTTCATCAACCAGGAGAAATTTTAATTAATCAACCACCGACACGTCTCATCATCAATCATGCTCCATATATTGTGCGACCATCACCAATTGTTGTCAACTCTGGCGCAAGAACTGTTACAAATGCATACACACGTCGAATATTGCCAAGCACTATTCAATTGCGGCCGGTTATTGTTCGTCTTGTGAAACCAATTGAACGTAAAGTGTTGCTTGATAAACCAGCACCACAACCAGGTAGCGAAACATATGCATCTAATCCTGAAATTCCTGGCCCATGTTCGAATACAAATTCAGCCGCAAACTCAATGGCAAACTCATTTGCTCCCGCCAACTCTTCGCCATTCGGATCCTCATCTGTTCCAGCCTATTCTCAGCCAGGTAAAATTCGATTTCCAACAGAAAATCTTGAAATCCATCAAATTTGTTATTTTATTAACAAAACACACATTTTTTTATTTCAAATAGCATCTGCTCCGTCTTACTCGTCACCAGCTCAAACTCCCGTTTACGGTGACTCAGGATTAGCACCTGCATACGGAAATTATCCAAGCGGTAGTCAACCATCGTATGGATATCCAAGCTCATACGGCAGCCCATCAGTTAGTAACTCATTTGGAAGTTCCTATCCAGGTAATTTTGGATCATCGGCTCCAGGCGCATGGCCACAAAGTGGCTCAGGAATGCCAGACTTGTCAAGTTATCTCGGGGTAAGAATCAATTTAAAAAACAAACGTTCTTTTTCATTCATTGCAATTTTATTAATTTCGTTCTGTTTTTGTTTATCGCCAGAATTCACCATTGAGTTCTGAGTCAGATGCCGAAATTTCAACGGGCTGTGGATCAGCTGTGGCTTCACTTGCAGCCCCATCTTATGGATCATCACCTTATGGATCATCACCTTATGGATCATCTCCATGTGGATCATCGGGCGCTTCCTCTTCTGCGGATTATCTCCAATCAGAACCAGCTAGCGCTGCAGACATAAACTCTCTCAGTTCTCTCAGCGCAAATTCGCTCGCTGGACAAAATAGTTTTGGTTCCGGCTCAGGTTGTGTTTAAATTGTTTGTGTAAAAAAAAGTCAATAATAAAATGTGAAAATAAAATAAAACAAAGACTCCAAAAAAAAAACATAAAATGAATTTGCTGATTTATATTTGAACTTCTCTCCATTTCATTTTAAGCTGTGGCATTCATTCAAAGCATACACTGCAGTTGAAATTTATCTCTGAAACAATTTTAATTAAATTAATATTCATACAACGCTTTCCACTTTTCCGAAATCGATAAATCGAATTCTAAAAAAATACGATTGAGAGCAAAATATTTATAGCCGCTACAGCGAAACGATTTAATACGTGTGTATGGTATACAACACATTTTCATGCCATTTCATATATGGAAACATTGACTAACGATTGTGTACAGCGCGTAATACCAATTGAAGGTAAGCAAAAGGAGAGATAAAGTGAGACAGATGCCGAGGTGTAGAGTGAGAGAGAGGGAAGGAATGAAAACGAGAGTGAGTCACGGATCCATCGTTGTATCAACATTTTTCTGTGTTTCTTTTTTTCGATTCCGAAAATTTGCGCATGAAATCACACCGAAAAGGATTCAAACAGCGTAAAAATACACGAGCAAGTTCGCAGGAAAATGTAAAAGCATCAAACGGTCGTTAAATAGATGAAAATAACGTTGTCGCCGTCGCCTCTGTCGTTATCGTCTACTCAATTGCTGATGCTGTTGTTGTTGTTGTTGCTTATGCTGTTTTGTGGGGACGGTAGTGTGCGCTTTGTTGAATTTTGGGAGAAACAAATGGCGTAAATGTGATTGAAAAGGTAGCACACACCACACAACACACATACAAACAGCGAAAGCTGTTCAAAGTCATAAAATTTCCCGTTTTATATTTGGTGCTATAGCAAACCTATTATAGTCCAAAAGGAAAAGCACATAAAATTTGCGAATGAACCATCGTGATGGGCCAGCAGTTTCTTTTCCCAAAAGCAGGCAACCAAGCAGGCAAACCAAACGACGAAAACCAGCAAAACAACCATTCACACAGACACACACCAACCCACACACATACACAGCAACAATGTGCAGGTTCGTCCGTCATGAAATAGCATATTTGTAGTTAAACGTACGTAGAGATTTTCCGTGCATTTTTATATATTTTAGTTGTGTAAAAAGACATTAGCTTCAGACACTCATACACATAAACAAATACAAAGACGCATTCACCTATGGGAAGCGAGATAGAGAGTGGTGGAGACGGAGAGAGAATGATGATGGCAAATTTTTAGGTTGATGTTATTTTAATGTTGAAATGGAGCCAAAGAAAAAGAACTTTCAAGTGTGACAGATAAAGATAGAGAGCATGAGATGTAGAGTGGTGATCCCATAATTGCTATTTCGATAAAATTCGAGTAGAGGTAGATTATAAACATCGTCCACTTTTACCACTTGATAAAACCAATTTTATTTTGATCTTTTAACCGTTCTTTCAACATCGACCCAACGCCGTCCCATCTGTGTTCATAAGTTCTTTCTAGATGTTGGTCTCTCTCTCTATCTCTCTTTTTATTTCAAAGCTCAGGTGCTCTATTAGCAAAATTGTTCATAATATAATATTAATGAGGTAATATTTCAGTTTTCAGAAAGAAAACGAGAAATGGAGAGTGAGAGAGCGCCGGATAAAATGACAACTGTGAGTGTAGCATGGCACGCCATTGATTTGCATATATATAATTCACTTCCCATTTTTTTGACTTTGTGCAAACAATTTTTTTAAAAGCTTCAAAATATGTGAACCTTTCAACCGTATATTATTTCATACTCCAGCAACCGTGTTGTAATTCAATTTTTTTTTTTTAGCAAAACTTTATATGAAATATAAAAATATTGGGAAATTTTTTATATATGTGTAAAGGGAGCCTTTTGATATATTGAATACTATGTGTGTATAAAACGATGTCACGTCAATTTATTGTGAGAAATCAGTGCGTTTACATTGCAGAAAAGAGACATTTAAAACTACAGGAAAATAAGAAAGATGCCAATTTCGATTTTTCTTCTTCTTCAATAAGTCAATGTCTGTTATGTGCCTGCCTGTTCTGCCATTTTGCCAAAAACATGACGCAAATATATGAACTGCTCTTTCTTTATCTGTGTCTTTTTTCATTCATCACAAGTGAAAAAAGCAGATGATGCCTGATGCTACTGCTGTAATTTAAATTATGTATGTCGAGTCAACATTGTTGACGTATGATTGATCCGTTCCAGTACAAAATCGCCAAAGGAAAAAAAAGCATCGGCATCCAATAAAACAAAAAAAAAAGACGTGAGAAAACGAAAAAAAGGCCACAAGCCGAAATAAAAGGTTATTTATCACTGGATCACTGATGATAGATGTTAGGGAAGCGCTTAAGCAAAACAAATCACCACTAATCTAATATAAGTGCGACAACGAGATAGCCAGAAGAATAAAATAAAAAACAACAAGAAAAAAATTATTCCATAATCGACTCAATTAGAATAAAAGTGTTTTGTATAGTGGCCATTTATTTTTTTAAAAGATTTCTTCTGCAAACAAATTGTATATTGAGAAGATACCAGTTGAAACGAGAAAAAAAGGTCAAAGAACAATCGAAATCCATTTTTTGTGTCATACACTCAACCTGCAGAGAGAGCGATAAATAGTAGGTAACGAGATAGAAAGGAGGGAAAAAATTGCGGGCAATCTTTAAATGGTAAATATTGTTCTCAATTAGCGCGAAAAGTTTTTTTTTCGCTCGCTATCGCACACAGTTCTTTTATCTCGCAACTGAATACGTGTTCGAAAAGAGAAAAAGTTCGCTTTCCCGATTTATATTTTCGTTCTGCCTGTCTGCTTGATATGACATACATTTAAATCATCCATCAAACTTCTACACTTGCTGATAGCTCGGCTCTTTGTTGTTGTCGTTAGATGAATTGATTCGCCTCTGATGGTGCTGCTGCTGATGGTGCTGTAGCTTTAGCTGTAGAAAACACATTTTGAGCACGCTTGTAACGATTTAATGATTCACTTCACCTCGTCGTCGTAGCCGATGTCGTCGTTGTCTCGATTCACCACTAAACTTCTCTCGGTGTCTCTTTTTTCGCTTTACACACAATCAATACAACCAATTTTGCTGTTCGTTGAATTACAGTTTACAAAATATGTATATATATTGGTTTATTATGTTATTTGACACACAATATTTTTTTTTCTTCGCTTCCTTTCTGCTTTTCTTGCGTTCGGGGAATTATTTTTAATAATATCGGTACATGATGCGAATGATTTTGTGTTTTCGCTTTCGATGAATAGCACCTAAATTAGATTTATTTTGATGAGCAGCAGTACTATAATCCTAATCATCATCATAATAATCATCATCCACAATACAGGTGAATCTGCCCGATAAAACAATAGATCACACTGATGATAAGTAATTTCAAACGTGTCTAGAGATTATAACAAACTAATAAAACAACCGCACAAATATACACACGCGCGCACAACAGATAATACTTTTTTTTTGTTAAAATACGTTTTTAAACAATTTCCAATGTTACCATGTCAATTGAAACACAATTTATTGCTTTCATATTCATTTATTTTTTTGTTTTGTTTTTGTTTTTAGTTCCGATTCACAATTTATTTATTTGTTTTTTTTTTTTTTTGTTTCGTCGATTTAAAAAATAACATATATATTTTTTTTTTTCAAATGTACACAAAATGTTAATCGGCTTATTTTTTTTAACTGTCAGAAAATGCCCATTCGCTTAAATCAATTTGCCATTTAAGAGATATTTCTGTTTTGCAAGTAAACATTATAAATTCTTTTTTTTAACATTTTATGCTTTTTGCTTGAAATTATCTAGGGAATTGAGAGTCAAAATGATTATATTTGATATTTAACACGATTGCAAAAGAGCTCCGTACGCAACGCTGGAACTCCATGACTGAGATAATATCCTGCAACACACCATGGATAAGGGTGAAAAATATAGAACAAATTTTTACCAATACATACATAAAACATTTTATCATCCCATCCATACATGCATAAGTGAGTATGATACGGCGCACCGAATCCATATTTGATGTTGTCACATTGTGTGTGAAGGAGTGGAGCCTCGTATTCACTGTGTTTAGCGGCGACTATTGCTGCTGTTTTTGCCGTTGTATATGTTGCGGAAGGATGAATGTTTCACAGAATATGTGTGCTTGCTTGTTTGTATTTGAATCATGCTTTTCCTTGGTGTTGTAAACTTTATTACGATATCACTCATACACAGCTGACCTACATGTCACTGTATTCGTTCGCGGATTAAAAGCTACGATGTATGTATTTGGGCATGAATGTATTTGTGCGTCTTTTCCACCCTAAATTCTAACGTACATTTTTCGATTGAATTTTTATGCCGCATGAATGCTACATGGTTTTCTTTTTGAAAGCCCACGTGTTAGTTATAAGCTACATCCATCTAAGTGCGGCCGCTGCTGCTCCTGTGCACCACCAGAGATTCGCATGCTTTTTATCTACATTCATTGCGAGAAACGAAATACGCGCACTGCTGTATTGTATAGTATTATTATAGTGTGTAATTCGTGTAAGCGAAATTTGACGAGAAATGTTTTCGCTTCAACGATAAAGTTGGTCAATTCAGGGGTGGCATCGTAATCTGCTAGAAAAGCTTCTACAAAGCATGTTCATCGGCGCTTCACGAAATGCTTTTTTTTTATTCAAGCAATCTATAAAGCTACTGACCAACTTGACACATACAGAATACTTACGACTTCTGGAAAATTGTAAAATAAAATGTGTTTGCTTGAAATAAAGAAAGAATGAGAGAAAACATATGATTTCATTTCGGTAATTGATTTTGAAGGAAAGAAGAAGATGTTCATCCATGAATTTACAGTGATTTCAAATAACGAATCGATGCTTGTTATTTTGATTACTTATTGGTTCCATTTCCAATTCAATCCAATCGGAAATAGCTGTCATAACCAATGAATAAAAATAGCGTTCATCAAATCATCAGTCGACTGAAAACGCTGAAACAGGAAATGAAGACATCAATCTCGTTATTTTCCGTTTAAAAATAATACTTTATTACATATACTGCAATGATATATTAAAGATTTTACTAAAAAAAAATAACGTTTTTTTATGATTTTTTGTCGTTTATATCGTTATCCGGTTTCATTCTAGTAGTATTAAAAACTCTAATAATAATTATTATTTATATTTCTTGTATAATTTATGTTTCAATATAAAATATCAATTTTCTGTGATATTTGTAGCCGACTACAATTGTTTTTTTTTTTCGTTTTGCTATTTTGAAATATTTCGAGTTTTCTTTATACATATACAACATTGTTTTTTTTTCTCTACATATCACATTTAGTCAGTTATCAAAAAAATAATAATAATAATATTTCACTATTTTTTGTTTGAATTGATTGCACCAAATCTTAATATGGATTAGGCATAATTTGAAGATTAATCGGAGGAACGATGTTTGTGATGTGTTGCACAGCAATCCGTTGATTTTTCAAACATTTTTCTAATTTTTTGTTTTAAATTACTTGATTAATATTCAGATTTCGTTCACGTCGTAATTGAATGGTAGCCAAAGGACGTTGATTAGATGGTGATGATGGTCCCGGTGGTGTTTGATTTTGACTTGGTAATCCATTTGATGAGATTCGTCGACGTCGAATGTATGGAATGCGCTGATAAGCTGGGAATTGTCGAGTATTCATTAGCACCAGAGCTGATGCCAACGCAACATTTGGTGATTTTCCAGTGCCGGGCAATCGAACAAAAACAGTGCAAACGGCGGCTGAATTATCGGCAGTCATTTCAACAGCCAATGGTCGAATGCCTGTATTTAGTGTATGCTTTGAGCTATTGACGCGTAATGCACGTCGTGTGTACGGTTGCGGTGTGCTCGTACTCGAAACACTGAGTTGCACCGATGCAAATGGTCGACGTGCCATGTGTAACATCTCAACAACATGTCGCAACCTTGCTCGTCGAATATCTGCCGCTTGTTTTGCCTTCCATATAACCACGCACACCGCCAAAAATAAGAAGAAACACGAAAAAAATACTGAAAAAAATACAAATAAATCGATGTGTAACTGGTCTTGGCGGAAAAATACCAATCCATAGCTGGCTGGTCCGTTTGTGGCACGAAGCGCAATATAAAAACGTGTTGAGCTTAAATTGTGCGTATGCTGTGGAAGTGTGATAACCAAACGATTCTTCAAATTGTAGACACGAAGCATTGTGTTACACTTATGAAGAGTGACGTATGTACTAAGCTCTTTGGCGTGCACATCCTTTACAAATAAACTATTGAGATTTAATGGACTGCAATCATGTGTTATATCGGGTAAAAAGCGTCGTGAATTTGTGTACGAAAAATTCCCTTCGTATTGATGATTTGAGAAAATTGATGATGATTTTCGTGCAATGCTTATCGGTTCAATCAATTCGGAATTGTAATCGGCAAACCAACTGTATTTACTATCGAAATAGATATTGTGATGACTATTTTCATTGTTCGTTTCAACAACTAACGCATCTTCCTGTGGACTCATGTATAAATTCAGTTCGCCACTTGTTACGTCTACTATGATACGAATGTCAACATTCATGAAACGTGGTTGTACAACGAAAAACGTTGTTTGGCCATTTTTCAATGGCTGTGGTTTCTTGCATTCATCGATGGTTTTGGCATCAAAACACATTTTTGCTTCGACGGTGATTTGTTTGTAACATTGATGACCCTCTGTGGTAAAAGTATTTTTTTAAAGCATGTGTTAATTTAAATGAATTTGTTTTTTAATTTTGATTATGATTAATGAAAAATAAATACTTTTATTACCTGTTGGGTTGCCTTGATATGATTCACGACACTTTGAACACTGAAGCATCCAGCATTGATGGGCTGAATTTCGATTTGATGTACACGTTGTATCGCTCTCTGTATTATTCCCACAATTACATTTTTCGCCTGTGACCGGATCGCAACTGTCACCATGGCCCTGGAAATAAATTGTTTTTTTTTTTTTTTTTTTTTTTAATAAAGTTTGAAAATAAAAATTAACGAAAGTTTCTACTCACCTGACAATGGCATTTTCTGCATGGTAATCGAAGATCTTCAGCTCCTCGAAAATAGCCATAAATACATCCTTCGAAAGAAAAAAATAAACATATTCCACAATCAGTCACGCTATAATTTTATTTTTTTTATGTTAAATGTAAGAATTTTACCTTCACATCGTTCGTCGGTCGTTTGATTGTGGCATTTCAAACAAAGTGCATCCTGAGTTGGGCCATGCGTTAATGTTGCGAGCAGTTCATTTTGATTCATATTTTTTACTGTAATATTTGAATCTCTTTCAACGCACAAATCCGTATGTCCATGACAATAATCAATACAAGCAACACATTCGCCATTGTTTTTGGCATCGCCCACATAAAGTGGTGCGCACATTTCACATTGATTTCCGACTGTGTTATTTTTGCATTCGAGACAAACGTCGAGTTGATCGGGTCCCTTACAATTTGAATGTCCATTACACAAGCATCCAATGCTACAGTTTGCACCTACATAACCAAAATCACATTCACATTTATCAGGCTCAATACAACGACCACGTACACATCCTTGTGTACATTTTGGAATACACGTTTTATCGAAATCCACCGTATTCGAAACATTATTGGCCATCACATTTTTACTTGCCGAAACTGGTTCAAATCCATCAGCACATTCACATTCGTAACCAATTAAACGATCTATACAACGTTCTGATTTTGGATTACAATTGTGATGATTGTTTATGCATTCATTCTCTGGTGGGCATGTTACATAGTTCCATATGAATTCATCGTTTGGATTAATGGTGGTTAGATTTTTTTGATTTGCATAAATGATATCACAGGTTGAGGCGGCTGGGAACTCACTGGGACTTTCGAGTGATCCTTCCGTACATACACCATCGCCATCCCCTTCTGTATTATTATTACGTGCACACCATCCACAATGTGCATGCGCTAAACACGTATGACACTGTGTATACGCACTGCATGGTTCCGGGCAATAAGAGATTTCGGACTGTGTCAACACCAAACCACATACGCCACCAACGCACCAAAGAGTTTGATAATTTGGTGAAATACATTGTTCAAGTTGTGTCGACCATCGGCATCCACCTTCGCTTTCACTACTCAAACAATCTGTACAATTTTTATATGTTTCACAACGACGCGGACAAATATGAGATTCTTGTTTTGTTTCACTATTCATTTCAATTTCAGAAGCGCAATAGCTTTTTCCATTTTCATCGTGCAACCAATGGCATCCACGCTCCATACAAATGTCACAATCACCGTTACAATAACTTCCCGGGCATTTTCCACTCGATGCAACAATTTCGGTTGATTCATCGCTACAGTAATTTGTACTGTTCAGTGGAACGCAGCGACCAGTGCTGCTATCGCCACACCAGCGACACGGTGAATCGTGTTCCATAAAGTATGGATAAATGGCTGTACATGATTCGCATGTGGTGAAAGTTCCACAAATTCGCCCTCCAATAGCTACTGCATCACATGAAACACCTTTATTGATTTGTTTCTCATCACCCAAGCAAATATCCAGACGTTCATTTGCATGACAATGTGAAACGAGCGTATCATTTTGTTTTAGTATACAATAACTGCAGCCCATAAAGTGTCGACACAAATGTTTTCTGCTACTGAACAATTCACATAAATCATTCGGTAAATTAATACGAATCACACGACTGCTTATTTGACCATCCCAACCGCTTACGATGTACACTGAACCATCGGAGTCATATGTCATTCCATGCGCATAAGATGGCTTCAATTCGCCAACCATCTCAATATTTTCCGTTAGTCGCACCCACATGTTGCATTTGTAAACGTATGCAATAAGCGAATCGGATGAATTTTCGGGCATCGTTCGTCCACCATACACAAGCATATAGTTATCTAGAGAGATAAAATCCAAATAAATAATCTCTTTTGGCACTGAATCAAATTGTTCAATAAAGCTTACCCGTTGATACGGCCGAATGCAAGGCTCGAGCTCGTGGTAAATTACTTTCGACCGGATTTATTCCGCTGAAAATTGCAATTTCAGTCCATGTTCTCTGGCTAACACTCAATGCATACAATTTGTTTGACATTCCGATTTTTTCATTGTTGTAAAATAAATATCCGCCAAAAATGTACACACTTTGTGATAGGGGATGATAGACGGCCGAATGGCCGTAGATACCGATTGGTGACTGACCAAATGTGTCCAAAATACTCCAATGCGCTGTTGTCAAATTGAAGACGTACGTATGCTGTGAGAAGCCTTTCATTGGTGAAAATCCACCGATCAATACCAGAATATCGTGTTCGCCATCTTTGATTAGTAAATTATAAATTTATATATTAAATATATGCATTTTTATTGATAATTAAATATGTGTTACCTCTTGTCAGTGTTAGTGTATGGCCGGTTAACTGTGGAGGTCTAATATTTGATCCAATTTCAACTTCACGCCATCTCTGATTGATGATACTAAATTTCCAAAAGTCATTTAAAACCTTTTCGCTTGCATTGTTATGTGACATTCCTGTCATGCCACCATAAATGTAGATAACTTGTTTTGAGTGCTGAATGTCAGCTGCATGGAAATAACGACCTTGTGGCATTTTTGCATCGGGCGTAGAGTCAACAGTGACCTGTTGAGATCGAAAAAGAATAACAATGAAAATGTGCAAAAGTTTGAAATGTACGTACATATTTTTTTTGGGGTCAACAACATACCTGCATCCAACTACTGTTCCTCGTATCAAATTGTCGAATATCATTAAGAGCCTGATGATGCAACGAATAACCGGCAAACATCCAAAGATTTCCTCGTTTATCACTGAGCAACGAATGACCAAAGCGTGGTAATGTTTTTCGCAAATGTTCCAGCGAATCATCAATTAATAACGTATTAAATAGGTCCGTAACAATGACACTTTTCTCATACCTCAATTGGACGGAACAATCGTTGTTACCAAAGTCTTTATTGCACAAACATCTTCCATAGGCATTGTCACATTTTCCTTGATTCAATGCTTCGCTACAATTTCTCGGACATCTTTCGATGCTGCAATCCGGTCCACTAAAACCATCTTCACATGTACAATGTCCATCTTTACACACTCGGGGCGGTAAACAAGTACCGGCTGCACAACTTTGAACGGTGTAAATGGCATTGAAACCTTGACCTTTTACACTTTGTTTATAATGAACGGTTAGATGTCCAGAGCGTGCTTCAACTCTATAGTATTTCGTATCTTCAGAACAAAAGACGCTGAGCAATTGCCGTTGTTGTGTGTGACCAATTAGGTCTGGTAAACCGTCATAAACATAAACTGCATTTTCATTGCATGAAACATTAAACGATGAATCTCGTATGATTTCGAATTGTATAAAATTATCGCTATCGTGCTGGCCTGATGAAGTGTGCGGACTAACAATCCATAAACATTCTCGAACTTCAGGTCCAAAATTATTCTTTTGTGATTGATATGATCCGATGCCTTGTAGACCAACGCTCTTTAACATTCCCCTTGATTCGCACTGGAAGAAACATTGACCACCATTCACGGGATTTCCATAGTAATTTGTACTACATTTTTCACAATTATTGCCTTCAGTATTATGTTCGCAAAAGCATTCACCCGTCTGAATGTCGCATATGCCGAGCGCTTCTTTTCCGTGACCATTACATTGACATGGGCGACATTTCTTTTCGACTGATGTAGCATTGCCAAAACTACCGGCTCGACACTTTTCGCATGAATCGCCCTCCGTCCAATGTTCACATTTATCACAAATACCAGGCCCATTAACGCACGTCGAATGATTATTGCATAAACACGAATTCGAGCATGATTCACCTGTCCATCCAATGTCGCATATGCATTTGTAATCGGGTGCACCTGAACAATAACCATTGATACATTGTTCGTAGCATGTACGTACGCAAGATGTTCTTCCATCGCCAATAAAACCACGTCTACAATAACAATTGTACGAGCCGTGCGTGTTAGTGCATTTGGCTTCTTTGTGACAATCGTGCAACCTTTTGAAGAAAAAAAAAATAAAATGTTAAAAAACTAACCAAATGTTAGGTGATGGAAATCATACCCTAATCCACATTCATCAACGTCTGGACATTGTGCGTACGCCCATTCAGTTTCGCCGGGAACAATTTTCGTCATGCCCGAACTATGTAAAACATCATCACAACTTTGAACGCTGCTATTGAAATCGCCTTGCAAACATTTTCCTTTTATTGGATGATCACGATCAAAACACCAGCCACAATTCAAATTTTGCAAACATGTCGAGCAATTTGAATATGATTCGCATGATTTACATTTTTGTTTTGGAAGTTCTTTGCTATCGCCCGTTGAAACGGCTTGATCGATCCATTCGCGACACAATCCAAACTGAAATTCGCTGGTATATACGGAAAAACTAAAACAAGTCGAAGTCGTTTCGCACCATACACATCGGCCACTCTCATCCAAGCAACTTGAACAACTTTCTCGGGTATTGCACGGCGCCGGACACTGTTCCGCATTTTTAATTGCATGCTCATATCGTCCGTATCGTTCACATCTTGCATCTTCTGGCCACCATTCACACATATTCGAATCAATACATTGTCCACATGTGATGAAATCCGAGCAATTTGAACATTGCGTCGGTTCAATAATGAAATATTTCCAATCGGTTGCATTATCGGGTGCACAAAGTTCTTCCGAAGAAGAGCGCAACACACATTTATTTGTCACATCACACCAACCGCACATGGAGTCCGATAAACACTGTAAACAATTTGTTAGCGATTCACAATTTCCATTTGAATAGGTTTCAAGATATTCAAAGGTGAAATAACTGCTATCGTGTGTACCTAAGGGGAGAATCACAAAAGAAAAGAATAAAATTTAAAATAATCGATAAGTTATCGGAAAATAATCGAAAATAATCATGTGTACCATTGTGTTGTAAACCAATTTTGCTTGGTGCATGATAAAAGTTCGGATGTGATGTACCGGTCATAAATAAACTACGATTGGCTTGAAGATCGATTAAAATGCGCTCGGTTAAAATGGTTTCGTTGGCCAAATCAGCATTATCTATTATTAATTTCTCCCAATTTATGATTTCACATTGTGTGTTTTCTACTGATAAATTGGCCATTGTACGATAGTCATTGAATCCACTCATTGAATTGCTCATGTTGAGAATTGTTTTTGAGTTACTTGCACAGATATGCCACTGTTCGCCGGATTTAATCCATTTTTTCGGTGGACGAATGAAACCGTATAGGCGAGCAACGATATCGCCATGTATTTCGTGTTCAGTTTTTGTAGTTGCAATAGGTGTTGCAAAATCAACCATTGTTGCATTGATAAAACTCACACGATCGGGCATTGTGAAATTTACCGGTGAGTAATAATTTAAAAATGTTAGACCGGGTCGCCGATCCATGAGCGAACATTGCTTTGCTGAATCGATTTCGATGCCATTTGCACCCCACCAACCTGAAGGGAAAATGAAAATCATTAGAATAACGAAACGATCTAATTGAAATGCTTCAACCGTATTATACCCATTTCTTGTGATGGAGTGTCCTCACCAAAACCACACGTGCCATAATTATCTTTGTGATGACATCGAGCATTTTGCACACACCATTGACATTGATTCAGTCCAAATTTACTCGCAAATGACCGAACACGATCATTCTCCAACGAACTCTCACTTCCATGAATCAAACAAGCGTGACAGTCGTGCAGGGCAGGGCAAATTCCAGGACACCGTGTAGTTTGCAGATTAGCTGTACAGTTGGCTCCAAACGTTCGGCCATAGCAGACATTGTCAGTGCTACACCAACCGCAATCCAAATCTAAGCGATGAATAAGTTTCGATTTTTTTTAAAGATAATTAATTTATTGGGAATATTCAAAAGTACTGAAACTCACCTGCCAAGCACTCCGAGATAGCATTATGCTTGTGACAATAATTTTCTGGATCGAAAATTCGTTCACTCTTTCGGACTTGAAGCATTGGTGGTAGTGTGTATGCTAGCAGATCAGCATTTACATTCCCATGATAACCCCCAACAATCTGAACAGGTATAGATTATAGCTAGATTATATATTTTTTATTTCATACTTTATTAGCTTTCTTACCAGTAGTGTGTTGTCATTTCGTACGGCGGCGCCGTGTGCAAAAACACCTTGTTTCTTTGGGTACCGTTGTGTAGGATTCATACCCAATACAACCGGATCAATCCATGTATGACATCGCAAATGATACAAATACATTTGATTGTCATAGCAGATTTCCTCTTTATTATAAACAAATTTCAATTTTTATTAATGCTGAATCATTTTTCAAAATCTAAGTTTCAATAATTTGGTATTTACCTTTATTGTGTCGATGGGTATAACCACCAAAGATTATCATATAATTGCCCACTACGTTTGCCGTATGAAATGCACGTTCTCTCGGAATGTATGCATCACGCAGTTGCATTCGTGGATAGTGTATTTCAGTCCAATGCAAATCGTCCAAATGAAACACAAACATTCGATCCGACAATTTTGAAAAACGTGCTACATTCACAGAAATTCCTCCGTACACATACAATGAATTTGTGGCCTCATGATAAATGCAAGTGTGAGCAACAACGCGTACATCTAGAGATTTGCCACCACGTGCATGTACTTCTTCCCATTGATCTTCATTTGGATCGTTCATCAATTTTATGCGAAAAATTCTGAAAAACAAAAATAGAAAATTAAATTTTTAAAAGAACCTCTTTTTAAATTTTTAACGTGTTCTACTTATTCAATCGAAAATAGATTTTATTTTCTGTTTGCATCACTGCAAAACCAGATGTATCATTGGTAGTAATAACATGTAGTTTGAACGATTTAAACAGAAAATTTAAACATTAAACAAAATGATTCAATTTCAAATGAAAATCGATCGTAAATAATAATTACGCAGCAACAAGAGGGATGCATATGTCTTTCTAATGCAACTTCAATGTTGTTTAGTGTTTACCTTGATGAAAATTGGCCATTACTCAAAGTTCCGCCAAAAACGTATAAATAATCACCGGCCAGGGTAATGGTGTGCTGCGTAAGTTGTGGTATTTGAAATGATGAGTTGGTTGCTCTCAAAATCCAATAGTCTTCTGGCTGTTGTGCCGATGCATTAAACATCCATAAGTCATTCGATAAACGGCCATCATCCAATCTACCGCCGGAAATGACAAAACCCCCGCCATCCAATGAAATCGAACATGCTGCATGACCGTATCGATGCATTGGTCCAATGTGTGATTTTTCGGATAATTCTTCCAAAAATTCGGAAATATCCGTATTCGTTAGTGATTCGTTTAAATTTAATGGAAGCTTTGAACTACGTTTTGGCGAACGTTGCCGACGACGTAAAAAATTTTCATCTGAAATTGAAAGTAAAATATTCCGGAAGAACGAAGCGTCACGCCCCAATCCCCATAGTCTTGCTTCTTCTTCATTTTGATGGAGAATAGCTTTTAGCAGTGTATTATCCCATTCAGCCGGAAAGTGTCGACTACGCAATGAAATTCCCAACTCATCTTCCCACGTACTTTTGTTAAAGCGATAAATCTAAACCATAAATTTAATTTACATTTAAAACAATTTTATCACTATGTTAATTTTAAAGTTTTGTAATTTATCCACGTACTTGCAAAGCGCCAAGAACATTGTTCAAATCATGACCGCCGTATACATAAAATGAATCCGTTTCACGTACATAAATTGCCGAATGAGCTGCCCGTGGTGTTAGTCCACTGTAACTGCTGGCTAAATAATGCCATTCATTTCCGATATTATTGTCGATATGAAGACTGCACGCTTTCCCAGAATAACCCTATTAAAAAGTTGATTCAGTTAGAAACAACATAAGTTCAATTGAAAATTCAACGTTTGACTTACATTTTTGCAACGGCAATGTTCTTTGGAGCAAATTCCACGACCTTCGCTAACTCCACAGCTGTCGGGACAAGCGTGTATGCTGCAATCTTTTGCAATCCAATCGCCTTTACACACGCACTGATGCCCAACACATTTACCACGATTTGAGCAATTATTCGGGCTGTTAATCAATTCGTTCAAATTTTTATTATTCTCGATTTTAAAAATAAACTGTTTTTTATCAACGACAAATTAAACAAACAAACACCTTACCAATTGCTAATGAAATATTCAGCTTGGAAACCATTTAGCACATAATTTGTGTCACTATAGAGTAGAATTAGCATCTGAAATAAATACAGCATATCAAGTAAATATCAATTTTATTCGAAAACCAAATGAAAAAAAAAAAAAAACGAAAACAAAATACACGTTGTACTCACACTTCCTGATGTTGCCACAACTTGTTGTGGCTCCGTTTTGCCGCTGAAACTACCCAATAACGGAGATTTATATGAATCACCATCAAAAACGAATACATAGTCGTATGAGCATTCTGTAGCGAGACTATGAAATTTCAATGTGATAAATTGGCTGTCATTTTTCGCTTCAATCAACCACTCGCAATGTGAATCCTACGAAACAATAAAATGAAAATATTTAAGATTTAATGCATTTCAAAATAGCTTACGAAAATGAAGAGACAATAAAATCACGTCAATAAAAACACGAGAACAAATAGTAACAGACTGTGTACACAAAGATAGAGATAGGGCGATGAGATCTGTTTTTTCATTGGCAATTTGAATGTATATTTTCAACAAAACAAAATGCCAAAACGGAGAGTTCTTTCCAATTCGAACTGGTTGAATGGAGCAGAAGAAAAAGAAGAGTAAACGAGTTGTAATTTTTGCAAAATATTTGATTTGCCTTTTGCGAGTTGTCATTTTATGTAAATGTGATTTTGTGCGGTCGAAATATAGCCACATCAGCAGCCTCATTTGTGGAATTCCATTGTTATTGAAGAGAATGAGATGTTTCAACTTACTTGTGTATAGTTGTAGCCAGGCGGTCCATTGCTAATTTCACCTTGTAATTCAGTGAATACACGGCGTGTTCGATCGCATGGTTGTGGTTGTGAATTGCCCAAATTTTCACTTCCAATCGCAAGCACAAACACATTGAAACAATGAATTAAAATGATGACCAAACAAAATAAATTCATCCGAGACGAGTGGTCACTTCGAGATTTTCTGATGCATTTTGATTGGCTTTTACAATTGTGATGGACAGAATATGACAGCTGATGATGATCGTGATGTTGTGGAATTATTGTTCGGTTGCTATTATCTATGTGATTATGTCGTTGTTGTGATGCATTTGTATCAAAATTATGTTGCTGTTTATTTGAGTCTTTGTTCCAAATTCGATGCCACCAGATGAACATTACGATTTCGCAATGGCTCTCTTACTTGAATGTGATGAGAACAATCAAACAAATATGAAAGGAAAGAAAAATACACAATGAATATAACACAGTAAAACACCTAATCACACACAATGATTAACCATACTAAAATGCAAAGCAATGGAAATTTTTGAATGCGAAAACAGTCTTTTTGAATCTGGTTTGTGCTGACGACAAAGTCAATCAAATAATTATTTGATTTTGGCGACTATATTCAAGACGACGGAACTAGTTTGAATCTGAAACACTGAGTGTACGTTTTCAACGAATTCATAAAATTGTTCCGCGAAAAAGTGATTTCTTTTGATAAGATTTATGTGTTTTGTATTCCGTTTTCTTTTATTTGTTCGAACTGTTTTGAATTATTATTCAATACATCAACTTCATCGAAAAATAAAAACCTGCAGTGAATGTTCTTTACACTCCGTGTTTATTGCTCATAAGTGGAAACGTGAGTTTTTCAATTTTTCTACTTCTTTCATGTTCATTTTTGTTGCCAATTTTTTTAAGTTTTATTTCGATCTTGCTAACTCCCTCCATATGCACCCAAACGATGTTTGTGTATATTAAATTTGCTGTGTGTTTGTGTTTGGTGTCAATTCAATTTCATACTGATGAAAACCAGTTTGCTTAATTCATTAATTGCCCACGATAATATAATGACGACAAACGGTGACGTTTCAAATTTGGCATTGATAACAGCAACACTTTGAAGCCTACACGGTATTTGATTAGAATTTCTATGTGCCACACGTACAAATACATTCAACCGTTGCGTTGTATTGTGTCAATGTGAATGTTATCAGTTCTGAGTCGTTTTTCTTGTTGTGTTGACGTTTTCTTGGTTAAAACAAAACAATAAACATAAATAAAGCCAAACAACATCGATTACACGGACAGAATGCATTGATTGAATGTAAATGATTTCTATATTGTTGCTTCAGTATAGTTTGTTTGTGCCGCTTAATTTTCTAGCTAATTATCAAGCACGACTTGCGTTCGGCGGTCGTACTGATATTTTTTATTTATTTATTCTCTAATGCAAGCAAAGCACCAACAAATTAGAGGGATTTCCGTCGATTTTTTTTTTTTTTGCAATGCACACGCAATTTTAGTGAATGTTTGATATTTTTCTCACTTTGTTTTGTTGTGTTTCGCATGATTTTGTATTCTAGTTTCGGCATAGAGCGCTCGATCGTTCATTCGTTCGCTCCGCTATGCATCGCAATTCAATACCAAGTCAATGGAATAATAATAAACACGAAACACAACTTTCAGTTTGCATTATGAGGTTGTCAAACGAGATTTGTGTGTTTTATTTTGGATTTCGTCATTTATTATGTGTAGCCGTACAGCACAACGGTGAAATTTCGGCTGTAAATTTTGTGAAATTCGTTCTTGATAAATCTGTTTTTTTTTTCGAATCTGGTTATTAATTTCAATGTATACAATTCTTCGTTCGACAAATACTTTACTTTCTATAAAATACTCAATAAGTCATTGAACAAACAAATACAAAACAGTTTTTGATCAATTTCAAAGAAATATATTATTGGCCGATAATGAATTCGCCTTCAACACAAAAACATCTTTACATTTCGGTTGCTATGCTTTTCAGGTCGTTGGTATTGAACTACAAAAAAAAAACCATCAAAGCACCTTTTTCCACAATGATTTTCCAAATTCACCAGATCGACGACAAATGTTTTTTGCTCAAATTCATCTTTCTTCAAGTGCATTCACTCTGAATTTGGTTTACACTTTATTTTTGCGAACAAAATTTGTTTCGAATTGTATTTTTGTTGTTGAAAATCCACTAAAATTGAAATTATTATTTATTTACATTCGTACAGACAAAAAATACGATTGTGTTGCTATCTGAGTGCATGTTCTTGTTCAACTAATTCTCTCTCTCTTTCTTTATAGGTGAAATGACTGATTAACTTGTGGGATGTATGATGATGATTTTGACAGTTCGATCAAATGTTTTACGTAAATTTTTGTTTCGATGGAAAACGTAAATGTCAAACATTTCCAACATTAGGGTATGTTCACCGTTTGAACATAACCATTTTTCAAATCACTCATTTTGAACAGAGAAAAATGAATAATAATTTGTTTGCAAAAATTAATAAAGAATACGCATAGATTTGTCATATATTAAGAATAAATTGACTTTTTAAATAAAGAAATCATTCAATGCATTATTGACATGCACAGTTGATGAACAACAGAAGCCCAACTGTCAGCTGTAAGACATGTCTATTTATCTTTTTCACTCCAATGTAAACAGTGGTTGGAATTTCATTTCGATTCGGTTGACATTCACACATAAATACGCTTGTACGCACACATACACAAAATCACATACATTTTATATTGATGATATACGACAACTAACAAGCGCACTACAACACAATAGCGTTTTTTTGTGTATTGCTTCCAATTAAGCTATGGTTGTGTGCAGCCTAGAGAATTCTTTTTTTTTCTCTTCTCTTTCACAGCGATGAATTTTCATTAGTTTAAAAGTATTGAAGCTTGTTTGGTCGCGCTGTCAATAATTTCATTCATTCTCTAGCCATATTCCATTATAAAAACAACTCATACTCGTTTTGCGATATGGACGACGAACAACACGCAGCAATAATTTTCGAATTAAATTGAACAAAAAAAAATATAAAGCAATTTTTTTTCTAAATTCTTTGTTATGTTTTAACAATTTTCTCAGTGAAAATGTGAAATTGTGTTAAAATATACAAAGTTGATTTGGTTTACGTTTAATCGTGTACGCGTATTCATTTGACTCGCGTTAAAAGTTTTCTGACACATACACAAAAGTGGTGACATAGCGAAATAGCCAAAAAAACAGAGACACTTTCATCGAATTAAAGACAAAAATATCGAAATTTATCGCAACAGAATATCGTGTGAAATTGACAACATTTAACTTTTGACGAAAAATCTGTGTATTTTGTGAATGAAAACGAGAAAGGACTGCAGGCAGTGACTGCATGTTTTTTTTTGTCATTATACTTGAAGTGCACCAACATTTGATTGCCATACAGTGAGTTGTGAGTGATAGTGTTTATTCTTTTCGCTTTGTTTTGTTGCTCGATTTCATTTTGTGTGTGCATGCATATAAAAACGAATAAAAAAAATAGAAACAAACTAAACTAAATATTAAAGGTTCGTGCAAATATACACGTGTTTATTAAAGAGAAAGAAAAAAAAAACAAAAAAAATTCGTGGAGAATAGAGAAAGAGAGACGCCAGTAGGAAAGGAAAAAAAAGCATGTGATTACATACGCATATAATGTTTCCTGAGCAACAACAACAATTACGATAAAAATTGACTCTTTCTGTGTGTTTGGTGTTGTTGTCAACGACTAGCTGTGTGGCGATTAGGATTCTCATTAATTCAGCAAGTAAGTGTTGATTTCAACGCGATTTTGAATGTATATAAACGACAAAACTGCCAAGTAAAATTTCATTTTTTATGAACTTTTTTTTTAAATCATTGAACGAAAGTAATTTTCTTGGCTTATTATTTATTTCAATTGTGTAATTGAAGTAGTATGAATTTGTGTATATGTGTGTGTATTATTTAATGATTTTTGTTTTGTTTGTTCCGCATTCAACTTTTCTTTCTCTTTAGTTCCGTGTATTTAATTGATTTATGTTTGTTTACAAATTACATGGGTAGTTCGAATGCGCGCATCGAGTGTAATTTAGTGCATACCTTTCTAGACACGAAACCGAAGCGTTTCAAAAAAAACTGTTCTTATAGGAATCTACAAATACCATGAAATGAAAAGAAAATAAGTAACTAACGTGTGATCTTTGCTTAGAAATGTCATTCTCAAAATTTTCATGCAATAGAATGATATCTAGATATACCTGTGTTCATGCATCGACTACACGCATAGCATCGTTTAGTCCTCTTTCGCATGTGATTCTTTGTGAGACGAAACAAAAAAAAACAGACAAAGCGGTCAAATCATTCATATGATTTTTCGAAAATATAATAGCTGACGTATGTCAATTGAATGGTTGCCAAATACAAGCCAACACATTCAAATCGATTGAAATATTTCCAAAAGGATGTTTTAATTAAAGCGATGCTTTTGTTTCTGTCTTTTTCAAATGCTGAAATAGATAACCGAAACGATTTACAACACACGGCTATGATTTAATGCGTTGAAAACATTTTCATACATATATATCTGCTTGTGATATCAGAGATGAGATTCTCTCTCTTTCTCTCTCTCTCTCTCTCTCTCTCTCTCTCTCTCTCTCTCTCTCTCTCTCTAAATGATATTCGCAATAAAAACACAACGGAATGTAAATATATAGAATGTGGGGCGTTTAATTCGATTGATGTATTGTTTATTGTTGTCGTATCTTTTTTCTATTTTCCAATGCATCACATTTTCTTTATGCACATATGAATCGTTGTGGATAAAAAGTAGCTCTTATTTTTCTCTAAATAATACTGCAACATGAAGTTTTTTCACACGGTGTAACACAACAAATAAAGTATTCATAAAAAACTTTATGTTGCAGTATTATAAGAGCTACCTTTTCTCCGCAACGATTCATATGTTCTATTGTTGCCAAAAAATGACGGCATTTTGAAAAGTCGCTCGATTTAACAAATTAAGTCATTGATGAATCACAAATGTCATTAGATTAGACATGTTTGAGTTTGACGCGGTAAAATACTTTTAACCTGTGTTCACATTGTGATTTCGTGATATCGTGAATCATATTGATAATAGGAAAAGGTGTTTGATGCTTGTGGCCACAAACGTCATTCAAATGACAATATCTATAATGTGAATGCGTCATTTTTGTTTGTAATTGTGCGTGGGTAATCGACGCAAAAGTTCTTCGTGGTTTGTGTCATTTTATTTTCTACTTGCCAATATAATTAAATATCTAATCATTTTATGCATATTATGGCATTACCTTGTCGTTTGGCATACGTCAACACACCACCAATGCATCGAAATTCAAGCCAACAGATTCATGCAACCTTGGCGCGTGTATTTCAATATTTATCTGCTGTTTTGTTTTCAATGCAGCCGTTTTTAGAGCAGTTTAAAATTCAAAGATAAAAGTATTGAACAATCAATGTGCTGGTTCTACTAAGACTATGCATATTTTAAAATACATTTACATTAAGTCATTCGCAATCATGCACAATCCAATTGCAAACACTTTTTGATTTCTTCGAAATACAAAATGCGTGACATTTTATATGAAAAAAAAAAAGAATTCAAATTGAGTTTGCCATACGTGCATTTTAAAATGGTCAATTCAAGACAAGTTGATGTGAATTTTATGTACGTAACAATGAAAGTTGCCAGCATGTTTTCTAAAGTTTGATGTTGTTTTACGATCTTTTTTTTTTTGATTTTGTTTCATGCTCGAATAATTTCACATTACAATATCGCCATTCATGCATAAGCAGGTTGCAGATTCGCTTTTCTCTTTTACTTCATCGACGTCTTCGCCTTCATTGTTGGTTCTGTTCGAAATTTTCTTTCAGCTATTCATATATGCGTATGGCGTGAGCAACAAGCTGAAAATCGTGACTGAAACATTTTCCAACATATCGGAAAATACAAAACTCAATAAAAACACATTTTATTGACATGTTTGGCCCGCATCGTGGTCTTTCTCTGTTTACACAATTAGTTTGATAATATCAATAAAAAAACATAATATACGTCTTCAGACTATCATTAAAATGAAATATTATAACATTTATGGATGAATGATATATTATTGACAGCTGAATATGGGAACAGAGGAAAGCATACCGTTGCCCTGATTTAAAATTGATTTGATTCTCAGTTTCCTTTTACAAATATTCTTCATCCATCAGCGCCAATAGATCAGTGTCTGTATGTACAGTTTAAAGATATCAATTAGATTCTTTCAAGAAGAATAAACTTCATTCAATGATTATGGCTCTGAATCTAGACTAATAGACGCTGAGAAAATTGCGTTGCATGTATGATTTTGCATGTAGTTAAACTTAGATATTTGCTACAATATAATTTCAACCAAAGTCATTCTAAACCATCAACCAAAGACACTTCATTCAGTGCGAAGCAAAGTAGAATGACGCTGAAAATAGGTGAAACACTTTTCGATAAATCAATATAGAGGCATTTGATTACAAATACATTCACAGACAAGCTTCGTACATTTAAAATGCTATTTTCGAACCATATAAAAGCCGGGCCGCTGCTTTCATTGCGATAGTCAAATGACAAAGTTTCATTCAATATCCAATATTTGTGGCACATGTATTTTATGTCGATTTGTCAGTTTCCATGAAACGTTTTCAATCAAACCAAAACTAATGGGTTTGGTCAAACAATCGCATTAAGTGGCCGGTTGAACTCAATCAACTGGCACATCGAAATATGTCCGCGACACTTCGTTCAGTGTAATTGGTTCAAACCATTCGTTATTTCAATCATAAATGATCGTTAGAAAGCGAAATAACAAAAAAAAAACATGAATTGTCCATATGACAATATTTGGAGAGCTAGTGAATTGGAATTGTGAATATATGTTATTAACAACTTCCGTAGAAAATGTGCGACAATATTTATATGAATGTTTATTATGCTTCAGCAAATTTCAAACGAAAAATCAATGACCACCCACGTGAATCGATTCCACAGAGAATAAAAAAACACATATTTTTTTTCTGTACGTTGCGCCAATGACGCGCAATAGTTGAACAAACAAAAATGCTGTGTAATTTATTTGTCGATTCTTCGAAAACTTGGCTGCCTTATGCAATTTGATATTTGGTTTATGTAGAAGACAATGGAACGTAGGTTTTGCTGTTGTTGTATATATTTTTTTATCAGATTTCAATCAAGACCTTGAAATGCGACTTTTTACCACACTTATCTTTGGCAACGCCGGAATAAATGATCCGATTCGTTAGCATGACGACGCTTCAATGTCCGTGGCAACATACTTTTCTTAGATACATATATCAATTGTTAGTTTTCCAAACTACAGACATTTCTTTTTTTTTTGCTTTATACAAAAATAGAAATATCTATACATACACCGAAGTCAAAGTGCTCTGATTTATTCGTATCGCAATGTTCTTTCGACGAATACGATATGACCTTTCAACCTAGCTTCCAATCATGATCAAGTACTAAACCATTAAGGAAGTTGGACCTTTCATTTGCTTTTTTTCCAAATCACAATTCACACTGAAAATGATTGATGTTCTCTTTTAAATGGCATTCAGTCCGGTCAAATGGAATAATGTGTAATTGGTGCAATGAAAACGACACAAAATATGAATATATCGACGGTGGCATAATATGAAATAAATCAATGCATGCATTTCCGACATATTTTCATGCAAAACAACGTGGCGGTATATAACTGGCACACGATTAATTGTGAATTTTTCCATTTGTGAGCCACGTGGCTAATTTATTTAAACGGTTTTTTCTGGTTCTCTGTACTGTCGCAACAGCGTGTGTTTCGCCTGCTGTGTGCCCAGTTTTTATTTCAATCTAATGGTCAATAAAAGTACATACACTTGCCGTGAAAAATGTGAATTTCAAAGTTTTATGTAAATATATTGAAACTATCGGGGCCATGCTTCCATGATCATTGCTCAAAATGTGGAATTTTTTTAATGGCAACGCATAGTGAGCATTGCGAATTTATAATACATGTATGTATCGTTAGAACCATAGAATGTCGAGTGAGCGCGCGCGCGAGAGAGAGAAATGAGCAAAAGTAATCTAGAATATCAAATGAGAATGGCCAGAAAAAGAGAAAGAAGCACATTTAATGGGTGATATCGTTAGAAAAAAAAGTGGAAGTAGCAGATTTTCTAACGGCAGTTCATTCACTTTATATCGTTTCGTACACACCGTACTGACCATTGCGTTAAACATATGTTGAACAATTTTTGAACTGCGTTAAGAGGCAGCCACACACAATGTTCGCACAATTTTATACGCGCTCTTATTATTCGGTATAGAATACGAGCATCGCAATAGACGATGTGATATATCAGTACTTGACCCACTTAATTTCATCATATGTCGTACAACATCGTTTTATTCAGTACATATATAACTTTCCAACATATAGTAAACAATTCAGAGCTAAAAAAAATATCATGCTTTCCATCTGGTTGTTGTTGTTTTTTTCGTTCTTATTCGAACTGATTTACATTTTGAAAATGTTGTTTTCATTCTTTGTCTCGACAATATTCAAACGAAAGTCAGACAAAAACACTCAAAAATAACAATTTCTTCTCTGATGCCGATGTTTGCATAATTTTTTTTTCTAATTTCCGTTCTCTCCTTCATTTGAATACGTTTCAGTAATTTATTCGTTGACTTAAAATGCTTTTTTAATGTAAAACAATAGGGAGCAAACCATTCGAATTTTCACCATTTACATCGTCTCAGGTCTCACTTCGAGATACGTTTAGATTATTCGTTAGAAATCTATCATTTAGTTTACATTAAATAAATCGAAAGAGTTTATCGTCTCACTGTTTAAAACACTTTGATGTATTTTTCGTAATCAAATCAAACATTTTCGCCGAAATATATACAATCAAGCACTGATTTAAACTCACGTTATCGATACTGTGAAAAAAAATGAGTCAGTCTATTTGCTATTACAGTATATGTATAACAAAATTCTAATGAAATTCATTTTAAAATAATAATCTGTTTTTAACCCAAATTTCGTGAAAGAATATCAAATGAATCATGCGTTTTTTTTCTCTTACTTTCAGGAATGTTAATGTGGGCCAATCCAACTTTATATTATAAATGTTGACGACGTAAAACACAACAGATCTACTTTGAAAATTAAAATGATGCTATCGGAACACTAGGTATCTAATCATATATGCGCATCATTTTGACAGCTCCGAACCATTTTGCTTCGAAGTGAAACAATCCACGAGACATATATTCTTTGAATAGTTTTACGGTGTTTATTACAGAAAAACATGCATTAATCACAAGAAGAAGAAAACAAATCTGTGAATAATTTTGTTCAAGTCGCAAATATAAAGTGAAAAAAAAAATTAAGGAATTTCACATTCAATTGTTTTGCAAATAAAGTTGTGTGAATGACATTAATAGGGCCTGGAGCTCCAGGTATGTGTTAATTCAAATGTATTTTATTGAAAATAAAATACATTTGAACGTTGTTACACTGAATATTAAAAATAAAACACATTTGAATTAACATAGGTATGGCCTTCATGATGAAAAAGAAAAAATACAAATTTTCCGTCGAACTGAATCTTGAGGAGTTGGTTGAAGTGCCATTTTTAAATGCCGTTCTATTTGCAAAAATTCGATTACTCGATGGCGGCTCATTCCAGGAATACAGCACTCGGTAAGTACTAAAATGGTTTTCTTTTCTGGTACATTACGTCATTTACATACGCCAATTGTGGATTGTATCGAAGCTTCATTAAAATAAATAAATTCCCTAATGCCGTGAAATTTCATCAGAAATATGACAATAAAAATAGTTGAAGCTCTTTAGTTCGAATTGAACTCAGCAACACTTGAGAATTGACTTGAGTCACGCTTGTAATTAAAATAGCAGAAAGGCCATTTTTATGAATACATTTTTTACGTGGATTCGTCGTCAGCACCTAATTTTAGCCAACCTATTCACACTTTCTGAAAGCTACGTTTAATTAAATACTTTTTGCCAATTTTTCTCTAACAAATATAATTTTCGATAAAATCAATTCAAACAGCCACTTATCGCCATCGATAAAGGGAAGCGTCTGTGCGCGTGCCAGTCCAATATAGCTGGGCGATAATTGACATTTATTTAGATAATTAAAATCGCACTTTTTTTGCAAACAAAACCAATGACGTCGAACAAATAAATGCTAATCCACATATTATGTCTTTACACCGGACTTTGATATCACTTCAAAGCCGTCCGTCTAAATTGATGAAAAGGCAAGACAAAAGCATGTCAAAAGCATTTCTCTTGAAAAAAAAAGAAACAGCATATATTAGCGCACCCTTCAGCATTTTAATTTCAATATCTAATACGGAAACTATCTACATTATAGTATTCCTACACGTGATCTGTTGCTTTTTTCCTCATTTAAATTTTGTTTGTTGTTGTTAAAACTTTTTTCTCTAACTGATTAGAAAAAAAAAAAGCTGAAGCGAGCGCCTCCTTGAAACAACAGCAATTAAAATACACAATGTGATTTAGTACAATAATAAATTGAGATATTTCTATTTCGTTCGCTCAGCTTAATCTTTGTGACTATTTGTTTTTTACAAACTGACTTTTTTCTCTACCAATCAAATTCAAGCCATATGCTTTCTAACTGCGGTGTTCATTGTTTTTTTTTTATAAATATTTATCAGGTTTCGTGTAATTGTAATGTAATTGCCCAGAAAATTGTGTGTTGGATGCGAATTGTGCAAAAAGAAGAAAAAACTCTCGTTGAAGATAAAATAAATCAGTTAAAATATAAATCAAGATGTTTACAAACGGCAAGCAGTAGACAGCATCAGTTGTGGTTGTCCTTGACCTTAAGCCAATCAAAAATGTGAAGCTCAATACTCAGTATTCGTTGAAGTAGCTCATCCGTATGCGAAACGAATCGGAATTTTGTTCATAGGTTTCGCCCTATGGAATTTGGTTTTAATAAAATATTCACCATGGAATGTGTCGACTGAACTCAGCACATATTTTAACTTGTTGCTTTTGATTTTTTTCCATCGTCTTCAAAATTATTCCTTTGAAGTTACAAAGAGATTTATTACGTGCTGATGTATGTATACAATTCTATGAATATTTTTTTTCTTGCTCGAAATCATTTGATAATTAAATGCGTAATAACTAAAAGCAATTTACTGAGTGCGAAATGAGAAAATCATATGGTTTTTTTAAGAAAATGGTTCGACGTAGTTTGATTTATGCTTGAACTCATAAAATTTGTTTTCAATATCACATGAGGTCAATCGTTAGTTGAAATCCAATTGTTAGTGAAAATGTAATTACCTGGATTAACCTTGATCAAGCTCAAATACACATGTTGATCACGAATGACTTGAATATTTTCAAATGCGTCAAATGAGATTTGAAATCAATAGTATATAGTAAAATCTACGTTGTTTTGGCCACAGCGAAATCATTTTTTGGCACATAATCAACTGGATGTTCTGGTATGGTTTAAAAAAAAAGAATTTTCTGTTACAAAAAATTGCTAGCAAAACCAGATGCAAAAGAAGATAATAAACATATTCAATACCATAGCACAGAAATCAGAAAAAAAACATCCACAAACGTCACATTTGATGTTTTTCTACAAATGTGTGGTTAAAAAAATAAACACAAATTAAATCGTGCTGAATTTTATCAGTCGAATTGAATGTTGTTGTTGATATTTTTATAAAAGCACTAGCAACAAGCAGCTGAAATTAAATTATATTATAGACCAGTTTTTGGTTTTTACTATATCGCGTGTGAACTAATCACATTAAAACGTACCACACCATACACAAAAGTGCTAGCAGTTGAAGCCAGTAACGCGATGGAAACATGAACACGAACAAATAAAAGTGTATTTATTGCTTAGAAAATGAACTGATGGCATATGAGTTTCAAGCCTAATATATACATTCCCTTGCTTGTAAGCGTCAATTTTAGTTGCTGATGATTATTCGGATACCATTCATTTAGCAAGCAAAGAAATGCGACCGCGATTCGATTTTCTAGGCTTTTATTGTTTTTATATAAAAATCTAGAGTATCATTATTATTATTGTTGTTGGTGCCATTAAAACTGGTTGTCTAGATCTACTTTTGCCAAGCATGTACACATTCAAAAGCGTGTACTTTTTAGAGATACTGGTTTTTTATCGCCTCAAGATGGCAGACTGTTTTCATTCATTTTAGTACACTTGAGCAAAAGAATTTTATTTCGATAGTAAATCAAGCACACAGATAGAAATAATATGTACATATCCCTCCATAAGAACGGCTAATTATCAAAAGCTTCATCGAATATGTTCATAACAACTGTCGAATTTACATGGTGTTCATTCAGCTAATGTTCATTCATATCGTGCATGCATCACACAAAGTGAAAAGACCTTGACAAGGTTGAAAATGTTTGCTAAACAACAGAAAAAGACGTTGAAGTGAACGAGAAAAAAAACACGCCGCCGAGAAATGAGACCGTGTATGAGTTTCAGTGGCTGTTACTTTTTTTTATCTGTTTTGTCACTTCTTTTCTTTTACATTTTCTTACACTATCTCATTTAAGTGCGCGAACTAACCAATTTTACCCATGAATTAGTTTCAACATGTGCATATACGATGAACGGTGGTCGGTTCGGATGGTCGATCGAAACACGAGCCAGTTTCAGTGAGTAGTTACATGTGAATGTATTTATCGTTATATGCTTGTATGTTTTATGTTCGGATTTTTGTTTATCAATATAAATAAATGAGCGACGGGTGCTTTGCTGTTCAAGGTGCATAACGAGACTGTCCACATACGTGTATTGAAATCGCTACATTTTTTTCTACTCTGTATTATAATATATTGTTAACCACAATGCGTAGCGAAACAACAAAGAAGCATATGATATTTTTTTGTTGACTTTTATTTTCGCACGAAATTTATTTGTATGAATAGTCAACAGAGATTTGTGAAGCCATGTAAATAAAACTGTTCATGAAAATGACAAAACACAAGAACTTTTTTTTCACTCTCTTAAGTAATTGAATCGATTTTATGACGTCAAATGAAAACAATAAGTAAAACGCACCATCAACCACATACCGTTAGTATTCACACCCGCGAGCGAAAGTTGAGGTGTCGTGTGTGTTTATTACATTTTCTATTTTGTTTTACTTCCCATAATGGTATTTCTCTCCACTCCACTACACATCATCATCATTAGTCTTGATCGTAATCGGCATTTTAGCCGCAAAAACGTTCATTCAAGTCGTGCATCGTAGGACGTCTGAATATTTGCCCACATCACGGTAAACACGAATTGAATGGCATATGTTGTTGGCATTGTTTTTGATGGCAGGTGCTCGAAATATTTGTTTACTGCATAATTCAACTTTGATATCGCCCATAAATGTCAGAACAAATAGTGTCATTAAAATTTATCAACAGTCTAACCGAATCGTTAAGAGTGAACTTGGTCAATCGATTTTGTTTACACTCAATATTATAAATTTCATTTTCCAACTGTTTTCTACTAAATCCAATGCATTATATTGTAGACGTTTCGTTCATTCATTAATTCCAATTCAAATTGACTTACCACGCTGCGTGCAATACACGTCATCATTTGAAAATATTACGTGTAATTTTTTTTTCTTCTATTCTTCAACGGAATTGCATTTCGTGCAATTTCACTGTTCATTTCGAAATCAATCATCGAATATTTACACTTTCAATAGTTTTCTCTATTAAATCAAATCAAATCAATCATAAACGAGTATAAATGACGAGTTTACGAAACATGGCGTGAAAAATGGATACATTTTCATGCTGCACTTGTTTAACCTTCGTTTAATTGGAGTCAATGATTGATGATAATGGTCCATTTCTTAGAATTTCAGCTACTTGAAATCAACTTTTTAAAAACCAACCTCCGCTTTATAATTCGGAATGCGAAAGTAATTGCTTTTTTATTGGTTTTCACTTGTTGTTTTTTTTTTTTGGCAATTCTGCTCAATGGGGAAAAAACGATGTCACAATAAATCAGATGTTAACTCATCATTATAATTGGGCTATTGTTTCGCATTAGACAATTTAAATCTTACACAACCTCAATTGATTGTTAGTTAACGATGCGATTTCAAATTTATTCCAACAATATAAGTATCTTGAATTGAAATAAAACAAATAAAATCGAAAAACAAATGTATGTCATAAACGAACATTTTCATTGTATGACACAATATAATTTGTAACTTCAGTCGAACGATGATCTAAATTTCGGTCGAAAATGAATTCGGATCCACATATCGAATAAGAATGGAGAATGGGGGGAAAACGATGCTATATATTCATGAATAATGTATGCATTTTTAAATGCCAATATTTATTTGGATAGAGTCAAGACAGGATCACTGTTTGCAATGCAAATTGAAATTCTCAAATCGAATGATATTTTCAGATCAACACTGTGTCTTGAAATTCACATTTTTTTGCACATATGTTTTTGGAATCGACAACTCGAAATAAATTTAACGTGCAAATGAAATCGACTGGGCAAAAGCAAAGCGACGAAGAAAAATGGCAGTAACCGCAGATATAAATGAATAATTAGACTTTCTTTCTTGTGCTGTTTTTTTTTATTTGCCTTCAAATTCTCTTGAAAAACA